TACCTAAAGATTGAGAGATGAGGTGGAGTCTTTGGAAGCTATATTAATGGATGATGTTCAAATAACTAGAAATCCAGAAAGGTTTGAATATATTGAAATGCATTATAACGTAATAAATGGTTTTAAATAATTTTAGTGATGCGCCTGAACTTATAGAAACTACAGTGTTTCCTCAAGTAGGTGATGAGGTCGAACAATATGTATGTGTGACTCTGCAAGTTATTCCCACAGTCGACTATCCAGAAACAAGCCCTGAATATAAGCTACTGCGTCCACGTGGCTTGGATGATGCGCGTTTGGAGGCTATTAAACGAGCATGCAACGAGAAATTGAGGGAGTCCATAGGTTTCCCCGTTGTGTTTGATCTAATTGAGGTGGTGCGAGAACATTTAACGGGAAGCAATTTACCGAGCGGCCAGTGTGTTGTTTGTTTATATGGTTTTAGTGATGGTGACGAATTTACACGTACAGAATGTTTTCATTATTTGCATAGTTATTGTTTGGGCCGACATCTAAATGCTTTACGTCGAACTTATAAAGAAGAATATGATAAGCTACCAAGTTGGCTTCAAAAAACCTCTGATCCATTTCAAGCGCTATGTCCTGTTTGTCGCGAGCCTATCAAAGATCAGGAAGATAGTTTGCGTTGTGCCATGCCGCCATCTGAGCTTCAAAATGCGCCTGAATTTAAATTAACACGAGAACTAAGAGATCTTCAGCAGCGTATGTCTGCACTATTTCTTAAGCAGAAGAAACGTGGGGGTATAATAGATGTGGACGCAGAAAGTGGAACTGTTATTTCGATTGAAAGTGAGGAAGAGATGAGATTGCGTTTACAACGTAAGCCCAATTATAACGGCAGTAGGAGAGCGGAAAACACGATTACTGAATGTAACTTATTAGAAACAGAAGGAAGTAGTGGAAGTAATGGGAGTCAGAACGCGGGAACTTCGTTATCTCTGGTTCAAAAAGTAAGTACATTTTAAAGGAAATAATATCTCAAAATTTTGCCTATGTTCAATACAG